ACAAAGGAGAGGTCCTCCACAAAGAGGTTAAACCTTTCTCTTCCCATCCTGTGGTCCTTGATGTCTATTATGCCCACAGGAAGACCTTTATTTCCATTTGGATCGGTACTTTTTCCCTTGTGAGCGACAGTACGCATGAATGTAGAGGAAAAGGTGCATCTCGTGAACCGAAGGTGATTCTATCCTCTGCGACGCGCCTCGTCTTCACCACAGCCCCTCTAGCGGTGGACTTAAGGGACTTCCTTGAAGACCTCTCCTTAGCGGTAGTCTTTTCGGCTGCCTCGCCGCTGGCGACGAGACAGCTAGCTCTGCGTACGATAACGACACAATGGGGGCAGGGACTATACCCTCCTAACGCCAATCCCTGAGTCTGAGACCCCTGGAGTAATAAGTCACCTTTCATGTTCGACATTGTTTTCCATACTGTTCGGGCACGGGTAGATGTTCGCACAATTTGGCGGTGATCACGCTGCGTCTAATCGGCAAGTATATTGGACACACATAAAACCAATCACAAATTTGTTTACAAACGTTTCGCAGCCATGTGATCAAGCGCGCGGGCATTACGTGGCTTAGGAGGGGAAGACCACAATTTTCGAGCCCCGCCTGACCACTACTCATTAGAGGCTTCTAGCCACGGTTCGGTGTGTAAGGTGTGTGCGTGAATAAAACAGTTAAGCCAGTCCAGTGGAATTACTTTTTCTTAACACCATCCCCAGAAACCCGCTCCGGCGAAACAAAAAAATAAGAAGTGTTTCGATAATTTCGAAGGTGTCGCGACACATACTTTTGGTTTAATAATAGTGTGTCCTACATCGGGTTGTTTGACGAGATTTTCCTTCCTCTAGACCAGTTGCCTACCATGGTTAACAAGCTCGGTCTGCCTGTCAATGTGCTGAGGAGAGGGAGGGGGGGGGGGGCAATGCCTCTGACATTGCGAAGCGTGTAGAAAGAAGTTAGCGATATATAGACGCAACCCCATCTACAGCACTTTCCACAGGTTTCCCCAAGAGGGAAGCCCATGGAGGTGTTACAGGTACATAAACGCCTTGAAGATCTTTAATCCTCGACTCCAGTCTCTGCAGATTTTTTGCAGAAGACATCCATCTCCAACCGACCTTCTTAAGACCCGAGAAGGTGCGGTACCACATATGCAGTTGGGTTGGCAGTGCGCTTGTCTCACGAGCGCCTGTGGATGCGAAGAATTTCCGTCGCGCGGAGAGATAATCTTCTCCGACTGTAGGCTCTGTTGTCCAGACCCTCTTACCGAGCGGAATGGATTTAACGGATTCGATGTAGATCCGTGCAAAGCCTACGTCCACTCCATCCAACCTTGCGACCCGCAGACAGAATTCTTTTGCTGCGGAATGGTTAGAGGCTGCGCAGCCAACAACTCTGCGCAGCCAAACGTCGCGAAGCACATGTCTCCCCTGCTTATCCGGGAAGCCCGCATCCCCCAGCCCCAGCGGGGCTTTAAGTGGGATGCGGAGGCGACGGGACTGAAGAACAAGATCCCGATGATTGATTCCGATCAGCCGGTAGACCAAACACACCAACGAGATCATCTCCACGTATCAAGTGGGGTTGGTGTGCATTCCCGCTTTTATCAACGGTAAACTTGTACAACAGGCACAAGGTCATGAAGCTGAGAGGGGTGCCCATATGGATGCCCCTCTTAGATGTTATCCCAAAGCCTCCATAATCCAACCTCATGGGGGAAAACATCTTGTCCGTATAATCGTTGACCCATTCGGGACACGAAACAGCGGAGAAGATGCCCCTCCATGCCGCTTGCGCGTAAAGGTAGGGTATGTAATCAGTCGCGTTGGAGAGGTCGGACGACACACATGTGCCGTGGCGACCCCAAGCAAGCTTCAGCATCCGCTGAAACTTGCTAGTAGACGGGTGTCGATCCATGTCTGCCCAATTCTCATCTTCGAGAATAGGCCAAAGCTGCCTGCGAATGATGTCACCAGCAAGCAGTGCGGAAGCAGGGAAGAGGGTAAGGACACGTGCCTTATACCTCTTCTCTTTAATCGCAATCACACGAGGAGCGAACTCCTCGGAACGACACTTCTCGATCGCCGTCTCGACGATGGCTTCATCGACTATACGCGAACCCCTGGACAAATCGGAACTAACCCAACCGGAGCCGATAAGATCTTCTATAACCGGCATTGCGTCATCGAGAAGTTCTCGATAACGACCCCCGTCTGCCGCTGTCAAGTTAAGACTTGCAGTGTTTTCATTCGGGGCAAAGGAGACAGTTCCGCGGAGGAGATCAATCCTTTGGGTAACATATTCACGCGTCCACTCATAAATTTCATCAGCCAATCCGTAATCGATCTCGGCTGGCGGCTTTCCAACAATCCGCCGGTGCTCACCAAGCGCCTTTGCGGATACGCTGCTGTCACCAACAGGCAGCGATCTACCGAGCCTGGCAACTTGGGCACGCACCTCAGAGTGCGACAAGCGGCTGAACAACCACCGCTTGAAAGCCTTCGGGACTTGCGACGAGGATTCGGGTTTAACCCGCGTCACCGCCCAGGTCCGGAGCTCAAAAGAGAGTTGCTTAAGATGTTTGGCAACGTGAGCCTCCCGCCAGGTGTTTTGGCAGTTTGGACCAACCAACGGGCCAATATCTTTGGACCCACGAGATCGGTAAAGCCACGAGGAAGCGCAGCAGTCACGACCGTCACGATCGCGCGCCACGTCGAGGATACAAAGCGTTTATGTACCTTATCCGTCGAGGCCTTGTCTGGGTTTGGAACCCAAGACGCAGCCCCAACTACACCGGGGATAACTGGCCAAGACCAAGGGTCAGGAGATAACCTGAACCTTCGCAATGGCGTCGTCATTGCCCCAACCTAGCCTAACCTAACTTAACTTATTATATACGTCATCCCTAACTAATAACACTAACTGTAATTTAAGTTACTTTCTTTTTTTATTTATGATCTACTAAAGTCGAACAGCCAAATATTCATCAGAGATTTTGGAAATTGCTATTATCATAATAACCGTAACTTTAGACTTCAAATATACCTTTAGTTCACATGACTTTGTCAAAGTCATTAAAAAGAAAAGAAAAGATTTGGTGTAATAATCATCACTGAGGAATATCTGTAATTTTTAAATAATTCGGTAAATCTCTTGCCATATAAAAAGGCGACTCTTCGGAGCCTCAGCGTCCAGTTTATCGGAGATCAAGAAAGTCACTTCTTCAACAGGGACTAGCCAGTAACAAGTCAGATCATCAGCCAGTCGTTCAGCTCGAGACAAAAGAGAAAGAAAAAGTTATATTTTTAAACAAGAAAGAAAACGTTATATATATATATAATTCAGCCTCAAGAAACAGTCAGCAAGCAGACAACCAGTCTGCAGCCAGCCAGGAAGCAGCCCGAAGGGAAGCTGTACATGTATGTACGTCACCCTTGAAATCGTCCGAATAATTTGTAAATTATATTCTGAAATTGTAAGAACCTATTCGTTACTAAGCCATACTTATTCACATACAAAACAATGAATCACAACGAGCGACAAAATTTTAATCCGTATTTACTATTTCGAGTAAATTATCATAAGCGACGATAGTAGTACTTATAGCTAGAAGAGTTTTAACTAAGGAGCTATGAGGGGGAAGAGGGAATATCAAATTACACAAATTCAGCACTTTTTTTAGTAGTGGGAGAAAGGGGAGTATCAGGTTACACGCAAATTCAGCACTTTTGAGTGGTGGTGAGCGGGAAGGGGGTATTAAGTTACACGTAAATTCAGCACTTTTGAGTGGTGGTGGGCGGAAAGGGGGTATTAGGTTACACGCAAATTCAGCACTTCTGAGTGGTGGGGGGATATTAAATTTCCTGGCGTCAGCTCTTTTTTAGTGGTGGGGGGGGGAGGGGTATCATGTGGGGAGGAGTATCAGGTTACGCAGTTGCAAAGGTTGAATGAATCAGACACAGATCCAATCGGACACAATAAGAAACGAACATCGGTGATTGGAATCGGACAGTGTCAATCGGACACAGTAGGAAACGGACACATAGTGGTTGCAATCAGACACATGCTTCGTGACAGTTTTTCTAATCTTAAAAACTTTAATGACTTCTAATGACTTGTTGCTTTTTTTCAAAAAAAGTTAACCGAATAAACTGTATAATTATAGACTTTGTTTCGCATCGAAAGCACTGGCTGATGAAAATAGACCTTGCTTTGCGCGGAAAGTTGCAAACCTGTGTGCAAACATGTGGAACCGTATAATTATGGACCTATACTCCATCCGGTGAGAGAATATCCATGGATCGGACGAAAACTCGGCCGTTTCGGCGCAGGTTTCTCCTCATGGAACGCTTAGAAAGCCCTCTACTCCACAGGAGTACTGCTCGTGCAGCTTGCCAATGCTAACACTCTCCCCACTTTGCCCGGCTATGCTTCTCCTAGTACAGACCATGGATATTCTCTCGCTGGACAGAGTATAGTTTTGCATTTGAAGTATCGGACGATAGACCTTGCTTTGTGCGGAAAGTTGCAAACCCATGTGGAATCGTATAATTATAGACCTAGTTTTGCATCCAAAGCACTATTTTTATGATTTTTACGCGTAGACACGAGATGTGTCCGATTGCAACCATCGTGTGTTCATTTCCTACTGTGTCCGATTCATTCTACCTACTGTGTTCGATTTATTCTGTGCGCAACTGAGACTTCCCCTGATATGATAAAACATAAATGCTTACATAATCGAAAAAAAAGAAAGAAAAAAGAAAAAAAAAGAAAAAAAAAAAGAAAAAAAAAGAAAAAAAAAGAAGAGTATATCAATAGAATTCCTATTACAATATCTATTTCGTCTTCAAATGCAGCATTCAAAATATGTTATGCTTAACATATGTTCTTTTATTTATTTATCTCTTAACAAGTGGCACTCTTATTCAAATTAATATTAGAAGCATATGTACAATTCTGTCTAATAATAGAAACATTGAAAAAATAAAAGACTGATGTTTTGGGTTTTGTTCTTTTTGTATTTTGAACACTAATACTGTACAGACAATTAACCAGCTTACAGAGACAGGAAATACATGTGAGGCAATGCTACTCACTTCACAAGATCTCAACAGGCTTTGAAAGGTCCTGATTAAAGATAAAAGAAATTTAAATGTTACTACATCGTCGCGTGGTTCACTGTCGACTGGGAGCGTGTCTATGAACCGCGAGAGGCTGTAGAAAATTTGGTTTACGTCCTCGATGCGACAGATTCATGGAATGACATCTAATGACATACATTTAACGACATACAATTCGTTACCATCACCCTATATCACTTTAGTTATATCTTAATAAATGTACATCTTTCCAATGTGTCTAGGCCTTGACACATCGGATCGATTATACATTATTCAATACATTCACGTTATTTTCGTTTTTTTTTTTATCTTTTGTTACAATGCAACTACATTTACAGCAATTCTCAAACTGTCCAAATACGTGCCGGTGAAAAGCTCTAGCATTAATAACAATACAGTTACATTTATTGTCGTGTAGCAACTGCGAAACTAAGATTCTAGTAGTAGTTTGAGTATCGCTGCTACAACTATATTGTACACAGTTTTTTCAATAAAATATAACATGTCATACGATATAACGACGATAAATACATGTTAAGATATGGTATAAGAGAACAATAATATTTAATGTACATTTATAATGTAAGATATATCATATTTATAGTTCTTAGTTGCAACTCTTGTGACTTAGACCTCAATGTGATAATTGTTGTGCAGTGCCGGCTTGATATCATATACTAAGTCCAAGATTTTAAGCATGACCTAAATCACACAGAGAGTAAAATAATTTTTCTTGCATGTTAATTTGTCTTTTATCTATGAATAGAAATTATACAAGAGACTTACTGTATTTTTGTGCGTAGCAACTGTCTGATTCATTTCTTCTATCTTAACTCGTGTATCTGCCTCAATGCGTGCAGCTACATCCTCTTTTGAGCCCATGTGCTGCAATAACATAGATAATACATGATAAAATTATTGATTAAATTTAAACTAAATCAAAGAATGAAAATTACATAAAACATAAAGCAAAGGAAACCAATAGTTACCTTGGCTTCAAATTCACGGAACTGTCTTTCTCGTTCCTGTCGATATTTCTCAATTTCATCCTGAGCTTCCTCTTTAGCCTGCTTTAGGCGACGGGCTTTGCCTATAAAGGTATAAGAAAAATCATAATATAATAGTCCCAGATTTTTTATAAAGCTTTGTTGATCTATTTGATTCTATCTTTATTTCATTATAATGTTAGTATACTTGAAACAGTTCCTAAATCTCAATTGTCGAGAGAAAATATCTAATATAGCACAGAGCTTTGAAATAAATTGAAGAGAAATTAGAGTTCTATTAAATAAAGTTGTCAAACAGTCACTAAACTATGAATTCAAGCAAAACGATTGAAGGAACGCTGACAGATCATGTGTCAAGGTTAGCCGAGACCATTTCTATTGCGAACCATCATAATTTTGCGTATCTAATTAAATATTTAAATTAAAACTCATTTTCTGCATGCCCCGCGTATCATTTCGAAAAATATCACAAATTTGTCGCATGTATCAGTCTCGAAAAAGATTATCACGGCCAAAAGGTTACAGCTCATGATCACGCAGCGAGTTGTCGTGCATCGCGTCCACGTCGCGGATATTTTTTCGTGAAATATTTCGGTGCCACTCGTTGACGAATATACTCACGTTTCCTGGCATCCGAAACTTTCTCCGCAGCGCGTTTCTCAGCTGCCAGAAGCTGCTGAATACCCTGCGTCTGGCTAGCCATCTTTGCGACGAACGAGTAGAGAACGGCAAGCTATCATGAATCGATCATATGACTTTGGCGCTTCCGCCCTTTGCCCCGCCTTTAACGATGGTCCGTGTCTCGTGCTTTCTCACGTGGCTGCTCTATCTTCCATCTTTGGCGCATCGTTGGCGCATTGTTGGCGCGAATTGATAAACTGAACCGATTCGATAGGCTGCTTTTAAAATATTTTTTCTTTTTCATTTTCAAAGGTATAGGCAAATATTGTGATTACATAATGTATGTTTGACATATATATTTTTTTAATATACAGAATTGATTTAAGAAAATATTTGTACATACATCTGTAACATCTTGAACATACAATAATATATATTTTTACACATATAGAAGTTGAAGTTGTTAAATCTGTAAAGATAGATTTCCAGTGACAAAAAAATCGGAGAATTATTCTTCCAATAATTTATACCATACGTTTCCCTTGAACATTTTGTCTATTGTTCAATCTAATCTTCTCTTGACGTTTCTTTTCCTCTTTAAACGCTTCAATATTTGCTTTTCGTTCAACCCTTCTTTCCTGAAAAATTATTTAATATATAAAAATTGAATTTATATTGTTGATTTGGTTAATTACTCATTCAATAAAACTGCATACTTTTCTGTATTCTTTGAGTAATTTCTTTCTTTCTTTCTTTTCTTCTGAAGTTTCACCTTTGGGTCTTATACTTAAAATACTTAAGGTGGATCTTCTACTTTCTGCTACAGATTGTGAACTCTCTGGTATATTATTTTCCAAATCAAATTGTGCTAACGCTTGAGCTGTTAATTTTCCAGTATTGCCTAATACATTTTTTGGAATACCAGTTTTTTGGTCAATTTCAATTTTTTTTGGATGCTAATTAAAAAGAAACAGACAGATACAAAACTTTAATAAATAAAAAATAAATCGAAAATAAAATATATGCTCATATAAAATATAATATTAATAATATCCATAATATTATTACCTTAGAAGGTTCTGGAATTAACTTAGGATGATTGTAAATATTACTATATGTACTAAGAATACTTTCGCAATCCCATCTATCTTTTGTACGAGCATCGACAACGAGTCTGTTTTGAACATCTTCATCTTCTGAACTGGAACATTCTCTCTCCACAATTTTCATTCTGTCTGTCATAAGTTTTGCAATATTTTCCGTCTGTAAATACAAGAAAGAATAAATATACTTTTCATAGTATTCTCGCATTATACTTACATCTTCATTCTGCTTCTTTTTAAATTCTTCAGCATATTGTAAAATAAGATCTGAATCATGTCCAACATATCCTTCTATCTCATCGCAATCTAAAGCACCAATTTCATTTTCATCATATACAGAGTACATCTACATAATTACAAACAACAGATTAGTGCATATATATATACAATAATATCAGGATAATGTCAACAAAAATGTAGGAAATATAAACCTTTTCAAATTTATCATCTAGCAATCTAAGTTGTTCATTTCTTCTCATCACACTACTGCTCATGGAATATTCTGTAAATCTTGATTTTGTTTCCTCCTCTTTAAAAGTGTACTGTGGTCCCTTTAGGCTACATACTTCATCTGCCTCTTCATCAGATAAATCCATGTGACCATCAGAAGATATGTCCGATACATCAAATTCATTGGCCGATTCATTCAATTCATATTCTGAGAATATAAAATTATATAAATCATATACATACAAATATTGTAGTTCATAATTTAATAATTTACCATATTCTCTGTCAGAACCATCGCTGTCGCTATGTTCAGCATTAGCTAATTCTATGAAATTATCTTCTAACTGATTATCAGGATCATCAAAATTAAAATCATCATCCATTGCAGCGACCACATCTGGATCAAGATCCAATTGTGGTCCAGAAACTGGTGCAGCTTTATTAAGCATACCAACTTTCTCTTCGACATTTGAAGCAAATACAGAGGAAGGTAAACTGATTTTTGGAGCATCCTTTTGTGAATTTGTGTTCTCGACACGTTCCCACTCAACTGACAAGGTATTAACATCTCGAAGATGTTGTAAATAATTGTAGTCATCATCAAAATATATTCCATATTTTTGCTGCTCTTCTTTGCGTTTTTCCCTATCTAATGTTTTCTTTTCTGATTTAGCTGCTTGTTTGTCCCCAACTGGCACGAGGACTCTTTGAGGTGCTGTTTCATCTGCCACTAATGGATCTTTTTGTGAACGATGAACCAAATGAAACGTGACAGCATTCTTCTTGTCAATAAACTTCTTTGTTTTTCCTTTCGGCTGCAATAACAATATTTATTCTATAAATAAACTGTGTTGTCTAACCTATATGTATTTAGTAAAAACAAGTTTTCAGGTGCATATAAAGCTTACCATTTTAATCTCCAACTGATCGTGCGTAAAAATTTAACAACGTATAAAAAAATCTTGTAACGTAATATTTATATGATAAAATCACACGTTTATTTCTTTAAATCGATCCATAAAGTATAGAACAAATACACGTGAACATGTGGTAGCCTCGCATACAGTGTTTTTACGTTGGCAACACGTTTTCAGATTGACAGAAAACCACAAAATATTAAGATTGATTCACATTTTGTCTAATGCATGCCAATATTCAATCAGAAAATGTATTTTCTAGAAATTTTGTTTAATTTAAAAAAATTAATTTTCCAACTGACTATTTAATATTGAACGATAAACGCAATATGAGTATCATTAGAATTGTTTACTTTTTGGGTTACTTAGTTACGCTTTCTACGCTTTCCATCTTTTTACTTTCTCTCTGCGTATAAATTTTAATGTTATTTTCTGATTGGTATATAAGTATAAAGTAGAAGCAAGGGGTGTTTTTACTCCACTCTCACAACTGGTGTTAACATAAACAGGGGATGATTATTGATGTCCGATAAACGTGAGAGTTTACAGAGAAAATGGGGTTATTCGATCGTTTAGCGACTCTCTTTGGTCTTAGGAAAAAAGAAGTAAACGTTTTAGTAGTGGGCCTTAACAATAGTGGTAAGTCGACGGTCATAAATAATTTCAAACGCGAGGATGACCGTTGCATAGACATAGTACCCACTGTCGGGTTTAATGTCGAGAAATTCGCATGTAAGTTAAATGGCGTGGAGCGACAAAATGTCAAAGAATGTGAAATTCGATTGCTTTCAGTATTACTTTTATTTGCTCACTGTTGCACTTGCATAATGCCAAATGTGGAGCACCATTTATTTTATAACAAAATACAAAATTGAAAATTAAATAATCAAAAATAAACGCAATATAAATCACACAACGAAATAAATACGTTGAGAGTATACAAAAAACATATTATTTTTACAAGATATGTTTTATTATCTTATACCTATATTTATTTTCTTTCTTTTTTGTAAAGTATCTGTCGTCATGAAGAGTGAATGTAATTTATTCTATATAATTTATACTGTGTGATAATCTAGCACTCTTTCTCTTTGAAGTACTCTTATGTCTAATTGGTCTTAAATTCATTTTGAAGTCATTTGAATTTTCCTTTGATTTTTCAATATCTGAGATACTTGATGAACTTCCAATGTTGAAGCTAGATGATAAAGATCGTGTATTAATATTTGTGCGTATTAGTGGAGTACTAGTGATTAGTTTAGCTGTCCTTGACTTGCCAGGCTTATTGTGCAGTTTTGATTTTACCAAGTTTTTACTTGTACTGTCAGAACTTGTAGCTTGGACAGTGTGAAAATTCAATTTTGTCTGTTTCAATCTGTCTTCAGGTTGTTTAAATGGCGTTGTTTCTTTCAGGTTTGAAGTAGACGCAACTTCCTCTACTTTCTTTTTTCTCTCCAAATTTTGTTTTTGAACAGATGCTTTTGCCTTTGAACGATTATCTTCTACATTATCTTCTGATAGTGTAACGTTTTTTGTAGTAGTAAACGATGAAGTACCCTTTTGTCGTTTTATTTTCTTCCACTTGTTCTGTAGCTTACGTTTTTTCTTAGCCTTTCTCAATCTCTTCTGATTTGATAATAATTCCCCCAAGAAACCTTCTTCATCAGAGCTACTAATGTCCTGTAAACAAAATTATAGTAAAATATTTTAATCATAAGCAGAAAATCTTTTCTAATCTTCTCTAATTTTATATATTTAAATGATTTACATTTAATTCCATGGAACTATCACTGTCATCTGTTTTCATCCAAATAAATTCAGAGTCCTCTGCTAGCATCTGATCAAATGCAGTTGTCAATTCTAGTGTTTTGAATGGTTTCAAGCATACTTTGAATCTTTGTTTTCTGTCACTGCTTAATTTATTTTCGTGAATTGTGTCAACTTCAATTTTATATGGTCTTGCTTCATCAGAATGATATATTATATATATTATTAAGTTTAGACATTCATTCTTCTGTGTATCTTTTATACCATACATTTCCAAATTGATTTGTGTATATCCTGTATTGAAATGCAATTTACAGTGCTTTATATGCGAAGTATGTTTCTGAAACAAACATTATTTGTTAATGATATAATTTGTAGACAATTTCATACATATATATGTTTTTATTCTTGCATTGCAAAACATACCTTTAACTTTAAATACTGCTCTTGACGCTCGAGATAACAGTTAATGTGATGCTGACAATTTTTTAGAAATACATTTATATTCTCTATTTTGTCGATAGGTGTTTTGGTTAGTATGTTATTCATATCGATCGACATTGGCATCACCCATTTTCCCAAGAAGCTTTTTCCATCCTTAATAAAAATCTGCACTGCGTAAGTGTTGTTCTCCTGCAGTTTGTTCGGTGTTGTGAAGTTAAATACGATCTCATTTCTATGATATTTAACACAATTAAAACCGGCGAAATTATGTAACTCATTCTGCAGATCAGCTTCGATATTCGGTATTCTTCTGAGATGATTATATCTTGGGATTTGCAACTTGGTTACGTGTTCCTCTATGTCCTTAAAACATAAAGTGTCCTGCAATTCAAGTTGCTTAATTGTATATTTTAGTTCTTTTATATCTTGGAGCAGTTTCTGTTTTTCCGCAATCGCATCTGAAAATCAAAAGATCTGTTATTTTCTTTTCTTTTGTAAGGTTAGGTTGTTCATAAACAAATTAAGACACCTTTTTTCACCAATGATATTCGCTGAGTATTCGCATCACTATCAATGGAAGAACTATCCGTTTCCATTTTTTATTAGAGAAATAATTGATTTATAATAATAACAAAACGATTTCGAAAAAACTCCCGGCAATAACACAGCGTGACTCAGTGGTTCTCAACCTTTTCAGACCCATCAGTACTTCAGTTCAGTTCAAAATATAGTGTTAATGTTTTTGTTATTTTCAGAATATTTTTTATTAAAAATAATTAAAACTAGCGCTCTTAGCGCGTTTTATATGAAAACTAATTATTTTTTTGTATGTGTATAAGAAATTACTCTTAATAAATAAGATAAAATTAATGTGTAAAAAAATATTGAGCATTGCAAAGAGTATGTGTATTTTTTACAAAATATACCTGATGCACAGAAAATAAATATACAAATTGTTTAGAAGATCTTTGTGATAATGATAGAAAAGATACGTTAATATATTATTTAATAAATAGTACTAAAATACATTCTCAACAAACACTAATTCACAATAACATAATATCAATGTTATAATTTCCCAATCAACAACATTACTGCAATATAATGCATATCTTGTACATAATTACAAGGTTGGGAGAGTTACTTTATAAAAGTAACTCGTTATCGTTACCGTTCTTTTTTCTTAAAAAGTAACTCGTTATCGTTACTCATTACCAATTTTAAAAAGGAACTCGATACCGTTACCGTTACTAAAAAAATAACGAATCGTTACAATTTCCGTTACTTTTTTTATATATAATACAAATTTTATGCAATATTTTTCTGATATAAGATTAAATTAAACACTACAAATTTACAGTAAACATTAAAAATTTTTAAACATTATTTTTCATTAAAGTAACAAAAATGATATAATTTTAATAATGATATCGCTATTAATATAAAATATAATAATTTTAATAATATATAATAAAAGTAATAATTTTGATGAGATATTTTAAATAAGAAAAATTTTTAATAAATTGTGAACAAGCTTTCTTAAAAATTTTTAGATGCTGTAAATATAAATTAAAAAGTTTTTTTATTGTTAGTTTTTCTATAAATTCGTAGATATAAAGAATAAATTTGAAAAATGTAACGATAAAAGTAACTGTTACATTCGTTACTCGTTATCGAAAAATGTAATGAAGTTACTTTTTTCGTTACAAAAAAAATTTGTAACGCCGTTACCGTTACAGTTACAGAAAAAAAGTAATTGTAACGGTAACGGCGTTATAAG